TTTGGTGAGTGGCTTCGAGGGCTCTGCTTTGTTCAGATTTGTCCGACAAGGGCGAAGTGGAGAAGGTGCTGTCCAAGTTGTTATCCCTCGAGGGGAGGAATATTCTCTTTTTCGAAGTTGCAAAGCCGGTGGGGCCACGCTAGAGGTCAGGGTGTGGAAACCACCCTGTGGGGCTTATGTTTCATTGCTCTGGGGAAGACCTAGTATGGGAAGTGCTGTGGGCGTGGCGTGGGCTACGTTTCTCCTCTGCGCATGCTCCTTGCTTCGGTGTTATGTCGATAGTTTAGGGTTTAGGCTTTACAGATTAGTTTTCATGGTGTAAAACTGAGGGCGCATGCTGTAGATTTCTTCATCTCCCGATGTATGCAGGCTTCGCTCCAAATGGCGCCTGTGGGAGAAGGGCTTCCCGACCCGCCCAAGAGGTTGACGGAAAAATGGGCCTTTGTTCAGGCCAAGGAAGCCTTGCAAGAGCAGTGCTCAGCAGAGGCAACTGCCAAAACGCGCCTCCTGTCAGGTATGTAGGGTTTGATACATAGATCCCGTGTAGCATTTAGGCTTTGCAGTTCAGCGTTCAGTAGACTTGAAGTCCTAGACCTCAGCGTGCAGAGGATATAGCTGGAGGATAAGGAAAGTACTCAGCTGAAGGGGAAGACGAGGGGAGGTGTCATTCTGCTCAGTCTACTATCTAATTTGCAGATCTAATCTATAATACGTACTAGGTTTATAGGTGTAATCTATAATACTATATTTTAGATACTCAGACAGGTTAAGTGGACCATTCATCCTCAGCGGATTTCAGAGGCTCTAGGCCGAACTCTTGTGGTGCTCGGCATGATAGTGCTAATGGCTATTTGTGATGGCGGCTCATTTGTCGTTTGGTTTCAATTCGTTTCGATCGTATTCATGTGTTGTGGTCCCCTTAACTGCTGTGTTGCTCGTATGTGTCTCCTGCGTTGCTGTCGTCTGCTGTGATTCTTTATTCATTTTTACCCATTCCTTTCTCTTGTGTTATCATCTGCAACGTCTTGCTGTTTAGTTTTGTTATTTCCTTTTGCATTCAATTTTATACGTTCGTTACTCGCGGGTACCACCTTTTGTAATATGGGCTATGGCGCTTGCCTCCCTTCCCTGAGTCATCTGCCCTTTTTGCTTTCTGCTCTGTCGCTCTCAATCTGTAAATGTCAATTTCTTTCGAATGGTCTCTCGCGCATGTGTTGTGTGCAATGCAGAGGATGGCGACGCTGATTCCCCGGTGGCTGCTAACCTCCCTCAAGACCCTGATTTAGAAAAGCGTCTCTGGGGAATGTACAGCGCGCGCTGTGTGCACGCCTGGCTGCATGGAGAAAAAGGCCACAAGGAAGTTGTGGTGAGCGTAGACGATGTCGTTTGCCATTCGCCCAGCCCCACTGGCTGCCCTGAAAACCCCTCTGGCCTTGCACTTCGGATGTAGAGAATAAGCGTACCCGCGACTGTTTGTCTCGCATTATCTGTTGCGCTTTACGTGCCCCTGCTTGCTTTCCCGGCGTAGTTCGATTGTTTGTGGTTTTGTGACTGTCCACCTCAAATCTGTATATGCAGTACACACACAGTTTTTGCTGCTGAATCTGTAGATTTTTCCCGTTGGCGTGTTTACTTGGATGGCTTTGCCTGTTCCCGTTGGGCTAGGCGGTGTATCGTCACAGCCTCACTGCTGCGTATATTTGTCTGCAAGCTTATGCGGCATTTTGCATGTTTATGTGTTGCTTATTTGCTAATGCACATTGTTCAGGTGGCGGTAATTGACTCAGGCGTGGCTAGCCATCCTGACTTAGACGAAAATATTTGGCACAATGCTGCCGAGTCAGCCGACGGAGGCGATGAGGACAGTAGGCGCTCACTTGGGTCTATCTAGTGTTGCATGCTATGGTTTTAGTTGTTGTTGCTTTTTAGTACTTATAGTGAGTTTTATTTACCTTCGTTTTGTTGTCGGTTTCTATTACCGCCTGGATGTGCTCGCGAGTGCAAAGGATAGTCCTATTCAGTGTTGTTGCCTTTCACTTCCGTTCATTGCATTTGACTGCTCTCTCCTTAGCATTGTTATTTATTACAACGGCCATTGCTTAACGGTAACTTCTCTGTACTAGCATCAGCATAAGTATTCTCACATTTCCCTCCAATGGCCTGAGTACTGCTCCCGTTGTTGCCTGTGCCTTCATGACCACACCGGCTATGTTTGTTCGCATCTTGAAAATATAATTTTATAGTTGTTGATGAAGGGGGGCGCCACCAGTTTGGTTTCTTCATAAGGACTTTTCACGTTTGGTTTGTTTATTTTGCGTTTCTTGATTTCAGATAACGGATTCATAGACGACACGGACGGCTGGAATTTTGCAGATGATTCGAACCATGTCGTCGATACAAACGGACACGGCACCCACGTGGCAGGTCAGCGGCCACACCTCACCAACACAGATGGATTGGGACATTAGGCCAACAAGAGGAGCCTTAGCTGTAGATTCACCTTGTCTTTAGTGTTATACTGACAAGGCAGCTGTAGAGCAGTGGTTCAGTAGTCCATACACCACAGGTTAGCATGTCCCCTTAAAATACATGCTTAGCTCTCTATAGACAACCACGGTTTTTTACATCTGTACATCTGCAGTGTAGCAGTATAACTCCCATACACGCAGTGACGTATATACGACAAAGTCATACAAAATATCGGAGATCCGGCAGTGTAACAAGTACATTGCGTTTATATAGTCTGTTTGCCAATCCTATTGAAAAGTGCTGCAGTCACGCAGAAGGCTGAATTTACAGGAACAGATATACTGCGGTTCAGAGTTTCAGTGTCCAGCCTAAATATTCAGCGCCGGCCATAGGGTTTTACTGTGCTGCCTGTTTATAGTTTAAGGGTTTCCGTGTAGTTTTTTAGGGGTCATTTCAAGGTTTCCGGCAAGAAAAGCTTTTCGCAGGGTTTAGGATTTGGCGTCGCTTCTGCACAGTTTGATAGACGCACACGTTTTAGGTTTTAGGGTTTAGGCTTTAGGGTTCTACTCGACCGATCCGTATATGCACGTACATGAGTAGAGATGCATATGAATGCTCTGAATCGTTACAAGTGCGCATGAGCGTCGTTATTCAAGTGTGTGGGAGTGCATTCCATCGGTGGCACAGGAGGTGTACGTATGTGCTGTACACAGGCACAGTAGGGGGCGTAGCCAACAACAAAGACATCGTCGGCTGTTCGCCGCTCGTCTCCATCATGAAAATACAACAATTTGGCTCCAGCGGGACGGTCAGCACCTTCAGTCAAACTGGCAAACCACTGCTGCTGCTGCTGCTGCTGCACTTCTTTATGGGCATTATCTGCAGCATTTCTGTACCTTCGTCGGGGATCCATCCCCATGTACTTTTTTTGCATGGAGGGTTTTGCAACACAACCTTTAGGAATTGTCGTCCGTGACACAGGGTTTTGGGGTTTAGGGTTTGGTGTTTATGGTATGCGCTACAGGGTTCAATAGGGGACGCAGTGCGGGGTGTGGCGTACGCGATGCTGCATGGTGTGGAAGTGATAAACAACAGCTGGGGTGCAACGGAAACGACTGATTCGTTGCAACTGTTGATGGAGAGGTCTCAGGCCATGCGGGGAGGGTTAGGGACCCTTATTGTTAATGCTGCAGGGAACAGCAGCAGCAACAATGACCTTCTGCCTTTTTACCCCGCAGGCTTCGACTACCCAAATACCATTTCGTGAGGCAGTTGCACCGTTTCTTTGACAGTTGTCGTGTTTGGTGGACTTTGTTTCGTTGCATTTTGCTTGGGCTCATGTATTCCTTTATGTTTCATCGACACTACACGCCACACCACCCCTTTCTGTTGTGGAGGGGGTACTATTGCAAAGCACAGCAGGCTTCTCTTTTATTTGATCTATGGCTGGTTTTGTATCTGAATAAGTATTTCCAGTCTTTCCCGCGTGCTTTTTCTCCTGCCCTCTTCNTCTATGGCTGGTTTTGTATCTGAATAAGTATTTCCAGTCTTTCCCGCGTGCTTTTTCTCCTGCCCTCTTCGCCTCTATCTGAGCCTTTGCCTTTCAACGTGCAAGCGTTTTCATTTTCACATTTGCTTTGTGTCTGGTACTCCCCCTTGTCCTTTGATTACTTTCTTATTTTCCCCTTGTTGTTGTATTGGGTCTTGACCCTTGTGTTTGTCTTTGTGCCTACTCTCTGCAGTACTCGTGTGTGTACTTGTGTTTGCTTGTGCCTAGGTTCCTGTTTTGTGGTTGCCTTTGTTTACTTCCCCGCGTTTGTGCTTGCCTGCGTCGTCTCATTCTCTAGGTCTTTACTTTGTTCTCCTCGTTGTTTCCATTGTCCTTGTGTCTGTTTCGTATTGGAATGCAATGCACGTTTTGGGGTCCGCCGCATGCTTTTTTACCTATCAAAAAGATCCTTGTTTTATTCGTTGATCTAATGGCATTGGTTTGGCATTGTTTTCCCTTTTTTTTTACTTCATTTCTTCGTTTTCAGCGTAGGTGCTTATGACGCTGATGGGAACCTGGCCTCCTTCAGCAACTACGGCAGGAACAGCGTCTGCTTATTAGCTCCTGGAGACAGAATTTACTCAACTTACCTTGAAGAAGGCTTTGCCTTCCTCTCAGGAACCTCCATGGCAGCTCCACATGTTTCCGGTGAGGGTTTAGGGTTTAGGAGATAGAGGGATCCTGGGTAGTTAGGGTTTGGGGGCTTGGGATTGGCAGGCGATTCTAGGTACTATGAGTTCGGTCACAGGGTCTCCACCGCATAGAGCTAAGGCTTTAGAGTTGAGGGTATAGAAGCAAGAGTATGTAAATGTTTGAGGCCAATGTTTCACGAGCCAGGGCTTGAGAACGAGCGAAACATAAATCTCTGCTTCTGGGGCTGGGGCAATTTGTTCATATTTCTAGTTAAGGGTAACATGAGTCATATTGGCAGCGGACACTTGTTTTCAAAACTCTGCTCTATTCAAAAGGTTAAAGGGGAATTCAGTAGTTGGCGCATGTATTGTGGTTAGTACGCAGCAAATACTTTTTGCTGAAGGGGNTTAAAGGGGAATTCAGTAGTTGGCGCATGTATTGTGGTTAGTACGCAGCAAATACTTTTTGCTGAAGGGGATGAATTTTTGCTTGCCTGGATGATAGTAAAGACAGTGTGGGCATGAAGCACGTGTACGTTGGTGTGTTGGTTGTACTGACGTGTATGTGTATGATGTCTTGTCAGAGGAGTGTGTTTACACCTCTCAACATTTTAACCTGTTTTCACAGAGCACCGTCTGCTGTGCCGAATGCTTATTGCCTCCAGGTCTTTGTTTCTTTTTTCTCGTGTTGTGTTGTACGTCAACTTGGCTAGATGTTTGCTGTGGTTCTTGCCCGCCGTTCGACTGTATCTGCAGTCTGTCATATGCCGATTGATTTATTTTTTCGTTTGCATCGCTTTGCCTCTGTGTGCACAGGCGCAGCAGCACTTGTATTTGGAGTGTTCAAGAAAGCCAACTCGGACGTCACCGCAGCAGAGGTCAGAGACATCATCAAGGCCACTGTTCAGCCTCTCGCAGCGGCAGAGCAGACTACTCAGTGGGGCGGTGCTCTCGATGCCGAAGCCGCCGTCTTGGTAAGTTGCTGGATGGATGCATGGATGCATGCATGCATGGTGCCGAATAACAAGTATATATGTATGCTTAACTATATAAGTAACATGCATGTATACGTGTGCAATTCTGTAATACGTAGCGTCTCTCTATATGTCGCGCACGTTAAACCGTAAACTGTTCAAGTCCGTGCGCGACACAAAACAGCTACTCCAGGAGAGAAGTTGCTGCAGCCTCTAGTAATACTGGGAATATGCATAGGGTTTAGTGGATGCAATGATTCATTCATATAACAAACAACTTAAAAAAAA